ATTTTTTTTTTTTTAATGCTTTATTTATTTCTAGGAGAGAGAGAGAGACAGTGTGAGCAGGGGAGAGTCAGAGAGAGAGAGAGAGTCACAGACACCGAAACAGGCTCCAGGCTCCGAGCTGGCAGTCAGCACAGAGCCCGACGCAGGGCTCGAACCCACGAACCGCGAGATCATGCCCTAAGCGAAAGTCGGACGCTTAACCGACTAAGCCACCCAGGCACCCCAAGAGGAGTAAATTCTTAAGGGAAAATAAAAGGAGTAGAGGTAGAAGGTGCAAACCAGGAATGGGAAGTAAAGAAAGGAGGTATAATACGTAATTTTATGGGGCACCTGGGTGGCTCAGTTGGTTGAGTGTCTGACTTCGGCTCAGGTCATGATTTCACAGTTCTTGAGTTTGAGTCTGTGTCAGGCTCTGTGCTGACAGCTCGGAGCTTGGAAACTGCTTCAGATTCTGTGTGTGTGTCTCTCTCTCCCCACTCCCCCAACCCCCCACTCATGCTCTCTCTCTCAAAAATAAACATTAAACATTTTTTAAAAATGTAATTTTATGGGGCGCCTGGGTGGCTTAGTCGGTTAAGCGTCCGACTTTCGCTTAGGTCATGATCTCGTGGTTCGTGGGTTCGAGCCCCGCGTCGGGCTCTGTGCTGCCTGCCAGCTCAGAGCCTGGAGCCTGTTTCAGAGTCTGTGTCTCTCTCTCTCTCTGACCCTCCCCTGCTCACGCTGTCTCTCTCTCTCTCTCTCCTAGAAATAGAATAAAACATTAAAAAAAATAATAATAAAAAAAAAATGTAATTTTATGTGCCAACCTGGCTAGTCTGTGATGTTCATCAAATACCAGTCTGGACATTGCTGGGAGGGTATTTTTTAGATGTGAATAGCACTTATTTATTTATTAAAAAGTTTTTTTAAATGTTTCTTTTTGAGAGAAAGAGAGAGGCAGAGAGAGAGGGAGACACAGAATCCGAAGCAGGCTCCAGGTTCTGAGCTGTCAGCACAGAGCCTGATGCATGGCTCCAACCAATTCATGAACCGTGAGATCATGACCTGAGCCGAAGCCAGACATTTAACTGACTGAGCCATTCAGGCGCTCCTATTTATTTATTTTTTATTGAGAGAGAGAGAGGGCACAAGTGAGTGAAGATGGAGAGAGAGGGAAAGAGAGAGAATCCTACAAGGGGCTGAGAGAGAGAGAGAGAGAGAGAGAGAGAGAAAATGTGTTCATCCAAAGCAGGGCTCAAGCTCATCTGATGTAGGACTTGAACTCACAAACCATGAGATCATGACCTGAGCTGAAGTCAGATGCTTAACTGAATGAGCCACCCAGGAGCCCCTAGACGTGATTAGCATTTAAACCAGTAGATTTTGAGTACATCAGACCACCCTCCACAGTGTGGGTGGGCCTCATCTAATCAGTAGAAGGTCTTAAGAAAAAAGACAGATTCCGGGGCGCCTGGGTGGCTTGGTTAAGCGTCCGACTTTCGCTTAGGTCATGATCTCGCGGTTCGTGGGTTCGAGCCCCGCGTCGGGCTCTGTGCTGACTGCCAGCTCAGAGCCTGGAGCCTGTTTCGGTCTGTGACTCCCTCTCTCTCTGACCCTCCCCTGCTCCGCTGTCTCTCTCTCTCTCTCTCCTATAAATAAATAAAA